TTATCATGTGTTCCCCCTTATTCAGACCAAACAGTAGGTGCTATGGTTGGACACTAGTTATTAGAGCATTTTCTCTTGTCTGCACATTAGTCTTTATGCACTCACTGCAAAAGCTTCCATCATAACAAAATACTAATATGTTTGGTTGGTTTAATGGATTATAGTTTATTAAACAAGAAGAAAATGAAGTCCGTGGGCTGATAAAGGGAACTGTACAAAACAAACCACCCAGAAATCATGGTCAATATCTTAGAACAGTGGAATAATAGACTATTGCAGATCACTGCACAAACACCAAGACAAGAAATGTATAAATGTATTCATAAATTCCACTGTTATTAAATAAATAACAAGCTCAAGAAGATTTATTTGTTATGCAGTGCTTTTTTAGTGAGTGAGGCTCAAACACCAGGATTAGTAAGGAGGTATAAATGAGGTAGATTTCAACAAAAAGAAAGTGACAGCCTAACAGATAAAAAGGGAAGTCTTAAAAACACTCTTTCACACACTTCTCTTACCCAGAGAGCTTGTTAGATTTGCCGAGGTAAAAGCATCAAAAAAGTACATTAAGCATTTTATACAGATTTGAAAGATGACTTGATGTACTGCAGTACAAGGTTCTCAGCTGAACTTCAAGATGAGGTTTTAAAAATGGCCATAATGGACAGCATTATTATATTCACAAATATATAATGTTGACTAGCAGGAAAATGTGTTAGTGTTTTTGGATTATGTTTGCAGAAGGCAATGTCCATTAACAACCAAATTCCACCCTGCAAGATACTGAATCCTACGGTTTTTCACTCACTCACAGTGGGCCTGGATAGGAGTGTCAGCTAAAGTCCTAACAAGTGAGATTGTCGAGATGTAAAATGTCTCTGCACAGAGGCTGTAAATCAAGGAAAAGATGGTGCCTCATAACTCTCTCCTTCTGTCAGTTAGACTGTCGTAAAGCGGAAAAAGGGCAGACGTACCGAAAGAGTCCTGTTTATGAGAGAGAGAGACGGAGAAAGCTCGACTGACTGACAGAGAGACAGTATGGAGCACAGATACAGAGAGACGGATGGGAAGAGAGATCAGACAGACAGAAAGACACATCATGTTTGAAACAGAGGCAAAGCCAATGAAAAAAGCATTAAGATGGCAAAATACTCTGATGAATTGATAGGAACAGACGGATGGACTTGCAGTAGAAATGTAGTCATACAAACTGAGACACGGGTGGATGGGAGACAAAACACTGCAAAGAAACCAAATCTAAATTGCAGCTGAGAGAAAATCTCCTTAAATTGAAGTAAAAGGTGGAGCCAGCGAGATAAGGAGCAGATTTGGAGTTTGCACTGAGGCTAACCCAGGGCTGCTGACAGCTGCAGGGCTTAGGATAAGGAGGGGACGGATGTCGACAGGACATCGACGGATAGAGGGCAGTGAGAGACAGACTGAGGGAGAGGTAGCAAGGAGATTTACAGGGCCGTGCTCGTAGGTCACTGGATTGAAGAGGAGCACCTTCCTCATCAAGCTTTCTAGACACGCTCACAGGAAGTGGTTTGAAGTGGAGGAAGTTTGGTAGAGAGGTGTACAGAGCTGGGCTTCAGTCTTATTCACAGTATTGATATTAACTCAGCATTGTGCACAGGCATGTGACGTTTAGTTGCACAACGAGTGTTTGGTGATATTAAAAAAGGAACAAAAGTTTGGGTAATTTACAGACAAATATTTGATATCCCTACCCATCCAAAGGTTCTGCTTTAATACACAGTGCATGCATTATTGTAATTGTTTTAATGCACAATCCATGTTTTACCCAGATGTTTGTATAATTGACTGTATTCATATTTTAAATTATCATGTGAACAATTCATGTCATGACCGAAAGAACGAGATCGCGGATACAAGCGGCCAAGATGGGTTTTCTCCGCAGGGTGGCTGGTGTCTCCCTTAGGGATAAGGTGAGAAGTTCGGTCATCCGGGAGGGACTCGGAGTTGAAACGCTCCTCCTTCGCGTCGAAAGGAGCCAGTTGAGGTGGTTCGGGCACCTAGTAAGGATGCCACCTGGGCGCCTCCCTAGGGAAGTGTTCCAGGCACGTCCAGCTGGGAAGAGACCAAGGGGTAGACCTAGGACCAGGTGGAGGGATTATATCTCTTCGCTGGTCTGGGAGCGCCTTGGGATCCCCCAGTCAGAGCTGGTTGATGTGGCAAGGGAAGAGTAAGTTTGGGGCTCTCTGCTGGAACTGCTACCTCCGCGACCCGACCACGGATAAGCGGGAGAAGATGGATGGATGGATCGAAGTATTAAAATGACACCATTGCAGGTGACCAAGGAAAATGCGGCTCAAGTGTTTCGTAGCCTGTATACCCCCTCTAGCCATCACAAAAAAGCTGCTACGAAAATGAACTTTAAGGAGATTGTAAGAATATCCAAATTGAGAGGGGTCTTTGATAGAAAATATGAGCAGAGTAATACGGACTAATTATTTACGGTGTCTGAANATCAAAAAGATGCTTTCAGAAATAAACAAGTAAAACAGACTTGTGCTGTCATTACAGCAATCACAGTACAACAATGCCTCGCAGAAGAAACATTGTGCCGTGTGATTGCTGTAATGACAGCACAAGTCTGTTTTACTTGTTTATTTCTGAAAGCATCTTTTTGATAACAGTTAATGACAGAATGGATTTTACATACAGTGATGTTGACGCTCCGCAACGCAGAATCGAATAGCTCAGTCGGCTTGGGTTCTGAGGTAAAGGAGTTGCTGCATTGCCTACTCATATATAGGTCACAGACGTGTGTGTGTGTGTGTGTGTGTGTGTGTGTGTGTGTGTGTGTGTGTGTGTGTGTGTGTGTGTGTGTGTGTGTCTCACACTGTCTGACTGACAGTTTTATGGGGTGAATCTCTAGCGCTGTGAAGTGAATGCAGTAAACAAACATCAGTGCAGCAGAGACGGCATGCAGCATTCTNAGGCGTGTCTAAACCCTTAACCAGGACACGCGTTTCGGTAACACCCCTAAATTTCAGGGCCTCAGATGTGTACACTTCCGGAGGCTTTAAAGAGCGATGCTTCATGCGGCCGGAGCCATCTTAAAGGTAAACGACCTGTAAACTGTCATGAAGCCGCCGTGAGCTACTGCACGATACGACTTTATCACCGCTACCTCGTCGAAATGAGCCTCTAACCTCCTTTGTGGGTGATTACGCTCATGGTGTGGTGGAGCTTGTGTGTTAAGGTTAGACTGTGACGTACGGAGTGACGAAGCACTATGGTTGTGTGGTGTGTGTGTACGTTTAGGAGACAACTCGGCTTCGACTGGTGGCACGCGAAAAACCGAGGTCAAACGGTACTGTGTTTGGGTAAGTAGAGTTCTTCGGCCTGTTAGTATAATTCTCGTACTCAGTGACACGCCGGATGTGACCGAGTCCAAAATTCACCCAGTACAACCTAACAGGGGAAGGGTGTGTGACACTGGGTGTAGGTAGTTGGAAGTCGACAACAAAACCCAAAGTTTAGGTGTCTTAAGTAGGCGGGGCCTCTCATATGACGCACACCTGCACACTTGCTCGCCTGTTCCACTCTTCGTTTTCCGAATGCCAGGAAGTATTCTTGCCTTGCTTCTGAAGCAAGATGCTCTGCAGACATGTGCTACCAAGCAAGCGTACTCCAGATTGAGAAACACCCAGTATGTTGGGCTGTGTGCTGCAGTAGGAGGCTGTTAGACGATATCACTCATACAGTAGGAACCAGGAATTAAAAAAAAAAATCACTTCCTGTGCCAAAGACTATTAATAATTTCATTAGAATACCCTTCTGGCATAAATGTGTGTGAGTATGTGAATAAGTGTCCTCTTGCTGCTACATTTGTGCATGGAAGTATTTTGTGTGGGAGGGAGAAAGAATATAAATTAAAACCCAGGAATCGCTACATAATTAAATAAACCTGTGTTTTACAAATTAATTCTATAACAGAAAAAAACAAACCTTTCAGCGTAATCGTAAACACAAGTTCCTGATTTACTTTGGCACTCATCCTTAACCTTCAGCAGAAATATGATGTTAGATGATATAACGTAATGCATTTCCTTTTACTGTAGGTATGATGTATGCAGCATGCCAACATACTGTACAGTAGGTCCCATTACTTTGTCAGGACAGTTTAACATGCTGCACTGCTGGCACTAGTAACAAGTGTCAGAGCTATGCTGTAATATGAGGGGACTGTGACCACAGACAGCCAACATGGAGAGGATTGACTGATGTGTTAACATTCAGAAACACTTCTAGGGAGAAACACTTGTTTGTGATGATGGATGAGCTTTAATATGATTTTGTTTATCTTTAGCTTAGTACCCTTATGATCTTGTATTCAATTTCCTCAAGTGATTTAAGAAAAAGCAATGGAAAGTAAATTAAGCAGAGGTATCTGGCTCTGGCAGAGGCAAAGCATCGAGCTCCAAAACACCTGTTTCCTACAGGTACAATAATGCAACTCGACAGCCCCATTATTTGTTTTACCCACGGCTGTTCTTTACCATGTTTTTGAACTTCTTCAACAACACAAATGACATAGACAGAGTTTCACAATAAAAACAATGGTGGAGTGTCTTTGAACATTTAAATATGTTGTGATTACCCTACCACAGAAGTATAAAGCTTTGAATAAAATTGAGGTTTTTTGTCCTTTTTGATTTTGTTTTCGATGCAGTAGCATGTAAATCAAAGTGTTGCACATAATTAATAGAAACAGATATGGTTCAAGGACACCGGTAGTGGGTCACAGAACCCGTATTCATCAGAATGCACAGTGAATGTGAATAAGCCGACCTTAACAGTAACTAGCTGGTGGTGCTAATTCTGTCTGTGAATAACGGGTGTGGCTTTCCTCAGTAAAAAATCGGTGAAACGGACACCACATAGAAAGGCACATGAACATTTCAGTCCACCCTCGCTGCCACAGATCTTGAATCTGATCTCCCCCTTATCATCTTTCGTATTACAAAGTGCTAACTCCCCGCCTGCCCTTCTCTTGTCACTTGTGTGGGCCCGGGGCCAGGAGTCTGACCTGTGCTCTCCGTGGCATCCAGACTGCCCGCTAGCTGCTCCAGGAGGCGTGCTCTGGCTGCATTCCTGCGGTGTTTCTTGCCCTCGTAGTGCTGCTGGGCCATCAGCGGGTTGTTAAACCAGGCGCCGCACAGACAGCAGTACTTCCCCGCTTCTCTTCCACCGTTTCCCCCAACCACGCCCAGGGGCCATGCCAGGTCAGGGGTAGGAGTGGGGCACGTAGCAGGGTCTGCGGGCAACGGGGTGGAAGGGGAGGAGTCTGGGGAAAGAAGATGTGAACAGTTATGAAGTGGAGGCGGGGGGTGAGGATTGCACAGGGAGGAGGGGGAGCATATTAATATGAAATCTAATTGAGTTTGAAGGAAACAATCACATCAAATCTAAATATAATGATTAAATAACATTTAACAGGGACATTCATTCATTCATATCGAACAGATGCAGACACTGTCTTTCTGAAAAAAAAAAAGAAACGGATGAAATACCCACTAAATGTGAGAGCTGTAGGTTACTGATGGAGCGGCAGATTGCAGCAGGTCACATCTGTGAAACATAGATGAGGGTCAGGAGGAAGCCATCAGCAATCCAGGGAGCAGACTGCAAGTGCTTTCCACTAACATCTACTACGTCTGAACTTTCCTGCTCTATCTTTTATTTTTTTACCTACATCCTTTCATCTAATATTTCCTCCCCTTTCATCCATATCTCTCCTCTCCTCCCCTCTTCTCTCCTCTCCTCTCCTCCCCTCTTCATTTATTTTCCTCTATGAGGAAATAAACTGGGAAATGGCAAAAAAAGAAACAAGAAATGGCAAACTTCCAGGTGACCTGCTTCAGCAGCTTCTCAAATGACTCAACTCAAGAAATTCACTCTACTATCACACCGCTTCGTTTTGTGTTCGTTTCCCTTACACTTCACCAACCAACCACTCAACTCGTTCTCTGGTGTCGGTATCTATGTCATGATACACTTGTCTCGGGCTATGTGTAGTTCCATACTCGTCGGTTAGTCGCACGTCCGACTCAGTCCAGTTGTGTCCGCCGTGCGTGTTTTTTTATTATAAGTCCCAGTGACCGGTTGTGAAGTACTTACGAGAAGTATACAATAGTCACTCGACTACCAATAACACTTTCTTCACAATACTGAGTAAACCCGAGTTTTTCGTACAAACACCCCGAAAACAGTAGTTATATTTACACATGAGTTTTCACCCAAGATAGAGCAGTAAACTGTGTAACATCTACCGTTTAGCCGTGTAACACTTGTACGGTAGACAGTAATACTCGAAAGTTGTGTGCTAAACCCGACACCTGGATCGTGGGGGAGTGACACTAGTTTATGTGTCAAACAAGATTTCCTTAGAGAGACGAGGTGTGTGTGTGTGTGTGTTTGTGGTGTCGGATGAGACCTCCGGAAATTAGTAAGAATGTGTTAAGTGTCATAAGTGTGTAAAAAGGATGTTTACGTAATAATGTAAGGTAATGTAATGTACAATTCTACGAAAAATAGGTTTCGCTGAATATGAATTTATGACACCGGTTAAGGGGTGTCCTCATCTAATCGCCACTTCCACAGAATGAGTCCCTGTGGTTGCTGTACGCTGACGTCACCCCAAACTTGGACACGAGGGGACTCGGCTTGTAGTTGTGTGATTAGGTGAACGCGGTGTCGGAGGGTGTAAAGTTTGGCGGTGGGTTAGTCGGTTTACCGTGTGTCTCCTGTGTGTGCGTGTATGGCGTCAGAAGCGACACACTCCTGTGTTGGCACAGACACCTGTTCAGTCACGGACAACCGAATAATTACCCGTTCGTGGTACCATTGGTCACAGT